CTCATACAGTGAAAGGAAATAAAGGCCGATGATGATTTAATTCTTTTCTTATGAGTCTTTTGTGTAAAAAACATTCTTCAGGCTGATGTTCTTCTGCACGAAAATAAAAATATATGTAGATGAAAAACTTCGCACAGATTTACTTTTAAACTTTGTTTTTTTTTCGCTCATGCTCGGTAGTTGGCTACAAAAATTTCATTTATGTATTTTTAACATCGTAATAAGGATAAAGTATTTGAAAGGCCTGGCCAGTACAAATTCTTTTCAGTGTCCAGTCACTCGTATAAGCTAAGTTGTTGGTATTTCGTTAATTAGATACCAAATTAAATAGAGACTTGCTCTTTACCTAAGATCTAAATAGCGACTTCAAAAAACCAAAAACTAATAACAAACAAATAGTCAAAACCAAAAAATTAAAAAACTAGGTACCTATTTTTAGGTTACCCACCCACTGATAGGTTAGAAGTCGGCGCCATAAGCTCATATCATACCATCTCGGGAGTATACCCTTTCAAAGAAAACAAGAATTTTAGAAATTGGTCCGTGAACAAACATAAAAAAAAAAAACAAAAAAAATATATAAAACAATCAGCCGAACATAGTACCTCCTCCTTTTTTTGAAGTCGATAAAATTATCGATCGATAAAAGGAGCTGCTAAAAGATAATGTAATGTCCTTTAATCTCTTTTTACTTCCTGTTCTTACAGACACTCAAGCGCACGACGAGCTCATGAGAAGGTGAAAATCTCCGTATCATATCCCTCATCAGAACAAATATGTCCAGCTCACGAGAACTCCATGTCTTCAAGTAGATCTCCCAGTCCATCTTTATACGCAGTCCATTATGAACGAGATGGAAGAGAACTGACAGAAAGTAGACTAAGGGTTCGACCTTCACACCATTTGGCTCCAGGACCCCTGTACGATGAATATGATGATAAGCCAAGGACTACTAGGAGGATGGGAAAGAGGAACATTAAAGCTCAGGTTGGTATACATGATTACTTTCATAGTGACCAGTGAATTTTCAGTGAAGAAAATTAATGATAATTCTATGTATACGTACCTATTTGTGGGCCAAAGAAAAATGGCAATTTGCCGTATATTTAGGTTAATATCTCTAGTTCTGTATTTAGTGTCATTTTAATAAGAATAAGTATCCTTATTACAATAGACAGATTTAAGTTATTTTAGACTAGACTAGTGCACTAATAACTACGCTTCTTAAAATTGACATACCATAACATACGAATTTTATCCCCGAAGGGGTAGGCAGAGGCGCACTTTACGGCACTTAATGCCACTATGAGGTACAATGTAACACCCACTTTTTCACTATTTATGTTATGAGTCCCGTGTAATAGGGGGTGAGTCTATTGCCATATACCGGGCACATTTCCAGACTCCGTGCTACTACTGAGATTTTTGAAAACCCAGGAATACTTTGACCGACCCGGGAACCGAACCCGAGACCCCTTGTTCGGCAGTCGCACTTGCGACCACTCGGCCAACGAGGCAGTCAAAATAGAGATACGCATAATTTATTTCACCTGATCTAAAATTTCTTCCTCGACGGTCACTTGCGGCTTCTAGATCTTATACATATTGATAAGTTCTAGTTATCATCAACTTCACCAAACCTTATTAATCTTTTCAGGTAAAACGCTTCCGTATGGAAACCAAAGCAGCCAAGACCCTCGGCATCATAGTCGGTGGCTTCGTGTTTTGCTGGCTCCCTTTCTTCAGCGTCTACGTCGTGAGGGCGTTCTGTGGGGACTGTGTCAGCCCCATCGTCTTCTCCGTGCTGTTTTGGCTGGGATACTGCAATTCTGCCATCAACCCCTTGATTTATGCGCTGTTCTCTAAGGACTTTAGGTGAGGATGTGTTTTTTTATTTATTTATTTATTTATAATTCATGGAGGACTTACAGCATATAAAAATGGATAAAAATAACAATAGGCGTAGGTAACAGTGAGCCAATGACAAGTCCTCACGTTTAACATTTGAAATAAATTAATTAATATGGTGTGAGTACTATACAATATTAAAAATACATACATTCTGCGTAAATGGAAAAAAATAAATATTGAAACAGACCGTACAGACAATATGATTATGAACAGATCAAGAAAAACGATAAAAAAAAAAAAACTAAAGATCTAGTGCTGCTTAAAAAATTTAAGGCTTAAGCACCTCTTTGCCGAGTTCACACTAGTTGTAAACGGATCGAAGTCATATTCCTTACAAACATTGTTAAAGTGTCTGCTTGCACGCACAATGTAACTGTTCTGCCTGTAGTTAGATGAGGAACGGGATACGTGTAAAGGTGGATTAAATCTAAATATTTTATTAGGTACATTAAATTTGATTTTTGATAATAGTTCTGGACTATCCACATTGCCGTTAAGAACCTTAAACAAGAATAGACAATCTGCAATATTGCGTCTATCTACCAATGGTAATAGATGGAATTTTCTACAGAGTTCAAGATAACGGGCAGACTGGTATGGTATATTTTGGTGGAAACAGAGATATTTTATAAAACGTTTTTGAATGTTTTCCACGCGGTCAATATATTTTTGATATCTTGGTATTTGATATTTTGTTGAAGTTTTATTAGTCTAAGTCAATGCTATGTTTCCTGTTGAAAGAGAATATAGCGTATAGTTTGTCAAGCAATATTTGACGTCGAACTGGTTAATCAGTATATCTATATCTATACTAATATTATAAAGAGGAAAGATTTGTACCTATTTTTGTATGTTTGTAATGAATAAGCTCAAAAATTACTGGGCCGATTTAAAAAATTCTTTCACCAATAGAATGCTACATTCTTCCAATTTGAAATAGGCTACATTTCATTTTGAAAAAAATTAGGGATTGGTAAAATTTCAACAATGTAACCGAAGGTGTAGAAAAATGAGTCTTAAAATGTCTTTCGCCGAATGCGCTGCCGAAACTATTAGCGATAGAACAAAATAATGTACAACAATATTGAAGAATATCATAATGTCTACAAAAAACTCCGCGGTAGCATATGTCCAACTATTGTAGTTATGTCACTACAACAATCCAAAATTTCCAAAAATAAATAATTGTCTACCCCGTGCGAAGCCGGGACGGGCTGCTAGTAGGTTATATTATCGTTGACATTTGAATTCGAAAACGTATATTTTCGTTTTTAGCCAGTGCCTTTACGATTTCCAATCCACTTCTCTTTTTATTTATTTTCAGCCATGATCGTCCCACTGCAGAGCAAAGGCCTCCCTACCCTCATTCCACTCCTCTCTATGTAAAGTTTTTTGCGGCCAGTCCTTGTCATAGATGTCTAATTCGTCCCGCCATGTCCTTTTGGGCCAGCCGCGACATCTATTTTAATTATCAATAACTAATTTGTGATTTGGCGATTTCTAAATTGAGATTAGGGTGTTAATAAGACAACAATTAAATTTTTTTTTTATTTAGGATCACCAAATTTAAATTAAATGCCAAGCTTTATTTTCTACATTCCAAAAAAACCCAAGACCACACCACAATATTTCAATTGCATTTCTTCCTTTTTCCACAGATTCGCATTCAAACGCATAATATGCAAGTGCTTCTGCGGCGGCGGTGGCCCTAGAAGAGAGTCGGACGGCGAAGGTTCTAGAAAGCAGAATAATAGGCCAACTCACTCCCACTCATTGGAAGAACATGACGCGAACAACCACACCTCCACCACGACCAGCACTAGTGCTGCAGACAGGTGAATTAGAATAGTTTTTTAAAAAGAGGTCTTTGAAAGAAGTTTCTATTTTTGATATCAATTCCATCAAGACCGTTGAAATGAAAAGTCGTTAAAGACGAAATTCCATAGTTACGTGAACATTCTGTTCACGTAACTATGGAATTTCGTCTTACGTTGTTGCACAGTAAATCTTTATTTATTATAGACCATGCTTATTATATTATCGAATAAAAGCGTTAATAATTTTCCCATAAATATCCGGGTTTTTAAGTAATTAGACAAAAACGAAAATAACCTAAAATTATGTTTAAACTGTCAAACACCGTGCGATCCCCTATACTTATTATCACGGAATATAGAATACAATGGAAGTAGCTTGAAACAATATTTCTGCCAGAACCGGTGTCGCCAAACTAATACATTCATAATTTACTCATACTATAAATCGGAAATTACGATTGGTTAGAAAAAAAAATGGGCGTAAACGAAATGCAAAAAAAATATCATACGATATGCAACTTTAAAACCAATGCACTATAAATCAAAATAAAAAAGTATATTTTGGACTACCAAGTACCGCCATTCGTCGCTAGGTGGAGTTTAACAATGCCATCTAGCGACGAAAAGTGGTACTTGGTTTGAACTTTAA